TTCCGAACGCAAAGTTCAAGGCTATGTCCAGTCCTGCCCAACATTCAGGCAGTTAATATTAATTTCCGCCCGGCAATTCTAAATATATAAACCGAATTCAAATGAAATAATTGGCATCGATTATTGGCCCTTTCCCAAAAAGTCATAAATAAAAGCGCTATCTCCTTGTTATGGTTGATCATTTAGTAAGGAGGACCGAAATGTTCCCTTAAACGAGCCTCCGCGAATTAGTTACGATTCTATTTTAAATAAAATTTTAAAAACGGGCACCCCTAAAAAGTTATATCGGATAATGGTCCCAATTTAAGTAATATATTTGAAGACATTGCCAAAAACTGGGCAACTCATTAAAAATGTCGTATGCCGCAATCAAATATCGGAAAGGTCAATAGAAATAGTAAAAATTATCCGTAGTTATGTTAAAAATTTTCATAAAGCTGGGATAAAACTATTCTTTCTCGCCCTTAGGACCGCAAAAAACACGGGCAAACTCCTGCTGAGTTATTTAGGCAAAAGATTAACGCCGAGATAAATTTTTATGTGTGCAAGGGCACAGTTTAAAATGAGGGCTATAGAAAAATTAATTAAGAAGCAAAAAAGAATACTGAAGTAGCACAGAAAAACTAAAGCTTTATTTATTAGAAACGACGGAGTAACTTATAAAGTAGGAGAGATGTATTAAAAATTAAGCATTCACTTCTTCACACCCGAAGATAAAACCGCAAATTTTTTCCACGATTTGAAGGACCATATGTCATAGAAAAAATAACTCACGCTGTAGTGGTGTTAAAAGCCAGAAATGGTGAACGTGTCCGCAAACATGATCAAATAAAAACCCTACTATGATCGTAATAAAATGAAAATTTCAAAGATCTTTTGCAGGATCCGGTACGGCAGACACGGCAGGCACAAGCTCCAGAGGTGGAAGAACGTCAAGCACAAGGACAAGCCAGTAGGAGGCAGGAGCAATTGAAAAGAAAGTTTCCCCTTTGGAAAATTGAAGGTAACAAGAAAAAGAAGCCGTTCCACCGTCCAGAAAAGAGAGCTCACGAACACCCTCGGAATGAAGAAGGGAGAAGTACGACGAATGCAAAGACAGCCAGGAGAAATAACGGCAACTATAACCCGGCTCCCAAACGGAAGATCTACTCATCGGACAGGACTCTCCGCAGCAAATGTCGCCGAACTGCAGAAGGGGCACCAGCGGCAGAGGAAAAGATACAAGGAAAATTTTAACGGCCAGCAACGAGGTCCCAAGAGGAACGCGAAAAGTGTCCCTTTCCGCCAAGACCACGGCAGAGGCGAACAAGAAGGTATTCAAGGGTGACCGAAATGGAGAAAAAAGAAGCTTCAGAGGACGGCACTGAAGAGCGAGCCCGCACAAGAAGGAGGATAAATCAAACGAGAATCTGCGCTACCTTCCAGGACTGGCTCAGAAAAGAATGTCCGAATATCACAAAGATAAGTAAAATTTTATGTACTTTGCAAACTTAAGTTAATCTTTCATTCTTACTGCAAGTGCAGATTTCAAGAAGTTTTTACCTCATGTGAGGTCTACCTTTATCGCCAAAAAGGCAGAAATGAGTTGTTACCGATTTTGGTATTAGTTTCAATTACTACGAGTAAAACTAAAGTTGATGTATAATAGGAATGTCTAAATACTTAATATTGTAAAAGTTATTGTATAATTTTATTTAAAAATTCTGGAAAGAAAGAAGTTTTAGTCTGAAAGACTTTTGAAATGTATCAATGTAGAAGAATTGGCCTTGCTTGGAAAGAATAGAAGTTAACAATGTACTACTATGTATGTTTTAAAATGCGTAAAATTAATGCATGTTAATAAGTTCCTTATATACAATGCGAACTGTTATTTAAATGTTAAGAACTACTGTGTATGGTAAAAGTGAAAGGTAATGCAAAAAAAAAAAAAAAAATTAAACTTATCGTGTGACTGTAAAAAGACCAAATTATGGTGAATATGTGTAAAGGTTGAATGAATGTAGTTAGGCTCTCTGACGCTACACTCAGAGTTAGCCACTTCAGAAAAGTACCTCAGAGTTTAGCGTTTAAGATAGGGTGGTGGTAGAGGTCTCTCTTGTTGAATTTTAACACGTTAGTGTTTTGATTGTAGGAGGCAGTGTTGACACGTACATAAACATTCGGTTGATGTTCTTTACAACACATGTCAGAGAGCACGGGGAGAGATATTAAAATAGTCATGAATGAAATAAGAAGAGAAATATAAATAGCATGTACTTGCCTTTCTTGTGTAACATTCATTAAACTACTTTTCCTTCCAGATCTCTGGAAGGAACCAGATTTGAATAAAAGCTCCTGTTTAGATGCAGTACAGATGAAAAATTGGGTGTCCATGGAGCTGCTATTGTAAAAGCAAATTTTTTTTAAAAAAATTTTCTAGTTTCTAGTGAGAAATGTTTGTAAAAGATTGGCCTCGCGTTAGATTCTAGAGCTAAAAGTTTTCAACAAGGTCGTTTTAGACCTCAGTTTCAAACTAATTAACTCTGGCGGGGTATGTAAGGATCTTAAGTTTTACTAACTTTATTTTATTTTAAAATCTTTACTATCACTTCTTATTTTCTACTTCCGGCCAGAATTAAAAGCGTTAACTTATTTATGCAAAACTTGTCTGGCGAACGCCAAGTCTTAAGTTGTGGTTTTTGCCAAGCGAGAGAGAGGAAGGAGTTAGTCGAAGCAGGCCGCTTACCTTAGAAGTTTTACAGTTTGCTGTTGACTTCCAGGCCAGAGGTTTAATCCTCGTGATAATTTTAAACGTATTGTAGTGTTAACAGTTCTCTGTACTACATACGCCTTCCTGTTAATATCCGGCCAATCTTACATGTAGGCCCTTGTTGATTTTTCCAAATTTAAGTTAGAGTTTAGTTATATTTTTATATTCTTACGTTCAGACCACAAGTAGTTGGTCTCTGTATTCCGAAATACGGAAATTATTGTAAAGAGTGCAAAATACCCTTCCTGTGTATCTTGTCTACTTCCCACATTTATTGAACATAGCTTTAGTAAGCTCCCTGTTCCGAGTCAGGTCTGTGCATGTTCCCAAAGAAAGTAAGACGGAACATTGAACCTGATAACCTGACACCAACGGACCATTGCTTGCCGGATATGTTTAAACACACCGGGAGTTTCTTTGAGTGTAGCATCTGCGCTTGCGAGTCTTGCCACGAGATCCATTTCAGGCACAACAGGATCGTGATGCACAATACTTTTGATGGCTCCCCACAAAAAGAAATCAAAGCTTGATAAATAACGGTGAACGGGGGGGCAGAGAATCGGTGCACCAAACGCAATCTATCGAGGGGGGAATGATATGTTCAAATGGCTACGAACAGCGAGTCCAAAATGAACACGCATTCCAACATGTTATGTTGGAACCGCATGTTTCGCCTCGCATTTGGTGGAACAATAATATTTGGTGGATCATCAGGCAAGCCGCGAAGAGCCTGCACACATTCAGGATAGTCATCGGGGAGTAGTAACTGAACCCTTTGGAGACGAATGGTGTGGAAGGACTCGGTGTTCAAGATACGCAGGGCACTGGTACGAGAAATTCTTAATTGAGAGGCAATGGCACGTATGTTGGTCCTTGGATTACTCTCCACCGTATCCAACAGAATTTCTTCCCTAAAGACCGAGCGAGCCGATCGTGACTTGTCCTCAATTGTCCTGCCACGTTTTAATGATGAGTAGTCGCACAAATTTTAATGTGCAAAACGTGGAAACAAATTGTGGTGTGGTTGATGTCTGTCGGGGAAGCGTTCTCGATAAATGCGTGCAACGGCTGGCCCATTACTCTACTCTCAGCTATTCCATACAATAAGTGCATATCTATAAGCTTTCCGTTCGGATAGCGTTCCATGCTCTTCGTATGGTGCCTACCGCACGAATGAGATAATCCTATCTTTCCACTTATACTCTTCTGTACAGTAATCCCTGGCGGCGTACAGTGACGTTTCTGGGCATGGGTTTCTATGCAATTCTTAATCCTTATGATGTACTCTACTCCTCCAGAAATTTGTCGCAACATTTAGGGGACAACCTGTATATACATCATCAAGCATATTTCAATTGCAGATTCTCCCTTGGGGTCTCGCACTATTTATTACAACATATTTTAGAATTTTCAGTTTAAATACTGGAAGATAACCATAATTATCCTGCCCCGCTATTGCTGTAAAAAGATAGAATTTCCATTGACTCATTTGAACTGACAATGATATTTCCATAAAAATTTCTCAACTAACCGAAATACGACATTTTAAAATTCAAGAAGTTTTCAGGGTTGAAAATGAGACATGAGTATGTACCGTCAGATGGAATTACACCTTAATGGCTGAAAATGGACTCTAAGAAGATAATTAATGGATTAACAATTGATCCTTGTAACAACTTTGCGATAGGGCAAGAAGGGGATATATTCACTCCCACGAAATATAAAGATCTCTTGTACTTTCATTTTGATGAGCACATCGAAAAGATTAAATATCCAGAAGATGCCATCGTACTTTCTTTGGCCATTCCATTTGTTTCAGCTCTGCTGATGAGTCTATTTTTCTTGCTATTTTACTATAATAGTAATACTAACTAACGCAATTGAATTGGAATAGGATTATTTTAATACAGGTATATAATATAATATTGCCTAAACTTTCTGTTTTCATCTTCATTGAAGGTGAGAGGAGGACAGAATGACTTTGTCTTGATCTTAGAAATTTTGAATGACTTAAAATAAAGTGCATACAATAACTATCTCAGAAATTCCAGAAACTGGACATTTTGAAGAAGGAAATTATTTAAATAAATTAAGTCTCTAAATCGTGTGTGCAAGGGAAATAATGCATGAGGAGAAGAAAAAAGTGAATACTAAGTATTTTTCTTAATATTTAGTAAGAATTTGTAACGTCATAAGTAACCAATTTATAAAGCGTATTAGACAACTAGAAAAGTACAGACAAAATGCGAACCTTTTTTATGTCTCGCAAGCTGAATAAATAGTGCAGTTTTGCAGGTGTTGGAAGAAAAATCTCCATCACAGATTTATACACCTTTATACTCCCTAAAGTTATAGCATTGATCAATCGACGAATGTCCAATGAAGGTTCAACAAATTTTTTTCTAAGCAATGTGATGAAAATGCGTTTCAGTTCTTGATCCTAGAGTGAGAAAATTTAAGACAGTAAATGAAAAGGCAAACTATGTTTACTTATGCATATTTTATGATAACTAGTCTTTCTTTAAGAGAAGTAGTAAAATAAATTTCAAATTACATTACAATTCCAATTATCCGAACTCCGATTATACGAATCGCTTTCAGAATTTAAGAAACAAATTAAGAGGGAAACGTAGTATTGGACAATCAAAGATTTCATACATTAAAAGGAGCAAACCTATACTTTTAAACTTCGTGTCACTGCTTGAAAACGGAGATGGAAGTTCTTAAATCAATTAAGGCAGCAAAAAACAAAAATTTAGAAGATATCGTTTTCAAGTAGTTTTTGCAGCAACGCTGTATGAGAAACCTAATATCGGGTACGATTCTTTGTGAAAAAGCTAAGATTTTAGCTCAGAAGCTTGGTTGTTTATCGTTTAACGCAAGTAACAGCTGGCTAAGAAATTTGCAGGTACGGTGTCCGTCAAAGAGATGATAAGATGAGATGTTCAGCAAGAAATGACTTTCAGCACTTGTAAGTAGTGTACAGCACGCTATATAACATGTACGTAAAAGTGTTGCCTTTTCATTTTACTAAACTCAAAACCTCTTTCCGTTCAAAAACAGTTTTTTGTGCCATTTTCAAAATACAGTACCTACAGTAGTTAATTAAAGTGTACGTAGACCCTTTCTTCAGAAAAAATCCTGTTATCCGAATTTTTGATTATCCGAATGGGGTGCAGTCCCAATTGATTCAGATAATTGGAATTCTACTGTACTTTGTTTCTAATATGTTTCATCTTTGATTCTTGAATCACACACACAGAGGTTTTCTATACATATACATGAAGGAAAAGCAAATGCATATGTAATACAAATTATGTAACTTTAAAAAAACTTAAGTATTTTAAAAGCTTCTGAGAATAAAAGTTTGATTATAATAAATAAGCCAAGAAGATAAAAATTTAATATACTGCTGTTAATAAGAAAAAACTTTAAATGCTAATTTAACTGATTTCCACTCACAAATAGATGGGTGTCCATTTTACTTTGGCATTTTACTTTGGCCATTTTATTTTAACAGAACATCTTATAAGGTACTGTATGTTAATGTTAATTTTCAATGTAAAATAACTTCTTCTTTTCGTTAGCATTCACTAGAATGTATAAGTATTCCAGAAGAAAATCTTGAATGTTTTAGATTTTGGTAGCGATGCTTGCAGTTCTAATTTCTTTGACCCAGCTCTGCCAGTTAATATTCTAGGGTTAGGCATTTACTAACCGAAGTTAAATTGCACTCTTAAAGGTTGAACCAGCTTAGTTAGGAAAAATTTGTGTAGTCCTGGGTTACGATCCCTTAGCTTTTATTGAAACAAAATTTAAACACCATGAGAACTGACTGAGTCATAGGATCGGCGATTTCTACTGGGTAATGTTAGTTTTAATGCAAATTCTGCTTTATATTATTTTAATACTCGCAAGTGGTGAAGTTTTGATTACACACATAAGCTGTGCCTTTAACTGTTTGCTTGAAATTTACGCCAGATGTTTCAAGAGGATAATGGGCAATCTTTGCCCTTTTATTTTCAAAAATAGATATTCATTTCAGCTGTTGAGAATCCCATTCCTATCGTTTAGAATTATAAAAGATTTTGTACGTGGTTTGAAATTTTTACGTCCAAGATTAATTTCACGAAAGAAAGTTCTGCTGCCATTAAAACGGTTACAGGCGAAAACAAAGTGAGCTAAAACGACGCGAAGAAAATAACGTAAGGTGAAAACGTCTTCGTAATATACGTCGTAGGAGAAAAGAAAGCAAGAAGTAAACATAGTTGTTCTAAAACATCGTAATACAAAAATCGTTCGTAAAAAGAAAGCGATTAAAAATATTTCGCAGTTTAAAAATATGGTCATAAAAAATATCGTGCTCAAAAATAAATCATCGCATGACGATAACATCACAGACATGCGTTTCAGACTTTAAAAGATGTAAATTTATATTCGCATAATGATTTGTGAGCGCAAGAGGGAATGAAGAATATTTTTACTTTCGTATATTTGAAATAATAAATGTTTGCTAAAACATTAAGAAGGATTGGATTATTTAATTATGGCAAAGCCTCGAGGGCTATCTGCCTAAAGGGAGGGATGCCTTCGTGGAGGACTTTCTAAGGGAAACTGGCTCGTATACACGTTACACATGGGGAAAACCACGAAAACGCCCATGCAGACAGCCCGTTCGCGGGATTCGAACCTCGGACCGAACTACCAGTGTTCAGCGTCTTTACCACTCGGCCGCTGGTGGGCACCATTAAGAAGGAAACTTAAGCAATTCAAAAACTGAAAATGAATAGAAAATTAATGGGATTTATAGCAGATAAGAGAATTTTATAATTTGATAATTAATTAAAAAGTTTTAATAGAGATAACCACAAGTATTTACTCATCTTCAGTTTTCTAATCTTCTTTAAACTATATGTTTCGTCAAAAATAACCAATAAATCTTTAATAAAAGAAATAATGACATTTATCAGTTAACTATATATGTTTAATATTCTGTTAATTCTGATAAACCTAGCATTACGTTTCTATTCAATTTTAGTTTTAAATGCTCAAATTTCCTTATTTTTCCAGCAAAAATTTATTCGTTAATTAAAAAATATAACATATAAAAGTAAAATGTCTTCCTCATTCCTTCTTGCGTTCACAAATCATTATGCGAATATGCGAATTTTTAAAGCCTGAAAATGTATGTCTGATATATTACCGTCATTCGATGATTTGTAGGAACTTTATTTTTTGCCGCGATATTTTCGACGACTTTTTTAAACTGCGAAGTTTTTGAACTACTTAGCTTTCGATGACGATGTTTTCTTTTCTTTCATGATTTTTTTATAGGACAACCTTTTTCTCCTCGACCTTTTCGTTTGCGATGTATTTGCCGCGATATTTTCGGCTGACACCATTGAAACCCCTAAGATGTTCAAAAATTTTAAACACGTCTTCGTGAAAAATTCTATTCTTTGTTCTCATGCATCCTCTTCTCCTGCATTCTCGCCAGCCTAAAAAGTTCAACTTAATTCCTTGAATATTTTCTTTGCAACATTTTATGATCACATTTTATTTTATTTTTTGTAACAAACTCACATTCTACAAACCAATCTTCATATTTGATATTTTCACTTTCCCAAAAAGTACATCTTCTCACAATTTTACTGTCATGCAGGCTATTCTTTTCAGTAGCTGGTCTGAATTCAGACATTTTACAGATTTTGGCGTTCATGTCACCCATTATGATGTTAATGTCATGCCTGGTACAGGTTTATTAAACTGTCTTTATGGAATTGTTCTTTCTCTTCTTCATCCTTATCCTCTGTAGGTGCATGCACAACTTGCACACTCACACAAAATAAATAAATAAATAAATAAATAATCTGAAAGGTTTTAGATCTTAAATTACGTCTAAAGGGGCGTTTTTTTAACGTTTTGTGTGTTACTTTATTAAATATCATGTTTTGCACTTAATAGCAATGTCGCAAAATAATTTTTTTAAATGAGTATATCTTTAGAATCTCCGATATACAGTTCCGCGCGCTAAAGATAAAAAGGTCCCCCCCCCTGTAGAGTGTTGCCATTTCTCGCTTTTAAATCGTTGAGTTTGTTAATCAAAAATTCGTTAAAGGTTTACAAAATATGAAATCGATAATAAAACAAATTCCAAATTTCAAATTTGGTTTCTCACATGCCTGTGTTCGTAGGAGGATTACGTCATTCAAAATTCAATACTCTATGTACTGTTGTCTTATCACAATGCGAGAAATATACATACATTTATGCAGATTTTTCATTATTTAATTTCTTCAAATATAATGTAGAACCCTAACATTTGGTGGCAACAGTTTGAAAAGTGAAACGGACATTTATAGTGATTCAACGCAAAATCGCAAAAAGAAAACAATAGTCCATCAGGACAAAAAAAAAAAAAAAAAAAAAAAAAGACACTTCTATATTGCATTTATATACAGCATTGTTCTAACAGGTATTTTGACACAAAATTGGACTTTTTCTGAAATAACATACCAAATGTTTTCCATATTTCGATTCTATGACTCAAACGATGTCTAGACATTAAATTTTGCAATATTTTGTTTAGAAATTAAAAAATTTATCTTGGCCCATTTTTTTTCACTTTGCGCCAAGAATAATTCACTTCTCGAACTTCTATATTTATAGCAACCTATTTTTCTTCCCTTTCGTTTCATTGTACACGAGCCGAACAAAGGTCATTGTTCTTACGTTCAAATAATTTTAATAAAGTGCGTAAACCACATTTGACGTTATTATTGCTTATTGAAATTTAGAGTATTATAAAAAATACTCTCTAAATATACGTTTTGAAATTTAGAGTATTATAACAAATACTCTCTAAATATACGTTTTGAAATTTAGAGTATTATAACAAATACTCTAAATTTCAAAACGCACTAATATGTATATTCATGCTATCTTAGGAAATTTTGAATAAAAAACACTAATTTTTGCAGGTATGCTTAGAAAAACTAAGATGATTAAAGATCTAGTTTAAGATAATTAATCTACTTTAAAATGATTTCGAAAATCATCTTAAAGTAGATTAATCATCGAAATAACCTTAATATACTTTAAGATGATTTCGAAAAATTTATAAAAATTACTTAAAAATACAAAAGCTTAAAATAAATCATAAAAGTGATTTCGAAAATAATTTCAAAAAATTTTCGAAAAATTTATAAAATTATTTTAAAATACATTTTTTATAATAATCATAAAAATGGGAGAATTTTATTTGCAATGAATCTAAATTTTGAAATGTGAAAGGAAGAATCAAATAAGTTTAAAAAAGAGATATTAATAAATATATATCAAATTCAACTAACATGGAGGTGCTAAAATTTTGAGAGCTAATTTTTTAAGAACCATTAATGCGATTTTTACAAAACTTGGCACTTTGGCATCATCTGAGTC